TGATCAGCCATGCAGCCCGTGTGCAACCTTTACTGCTCTCATTTAACTTCATAACCACTTTACACCAGCCATAGAAAGTGATGTCACCATAAACAGTACCAATAACTTTCACGTTACATTTGAAAAGACAGCAGTAAACTGTTTCCAGGCTTACACAAGTGGTGCAGTCTCCACCAGCAGTCAGGAAGATTTTCTGCCGTGATTGCTAAAAGGGAGGGATTTGGGGAAGCCCCAGGGCACAGTCAGACCTCATGCTCTCATGGCAGTCGGTTATACAGCCCCAGTACTCCTGGGTATGGGTGGGGACATGTTCCAAGCAAGATATGAGGCCGTTCTTTGCAGTGTTCACATCTTCAGATTGAACCCAGCCAGGGCTACAGGTCCTGTCTGATATGAGGATGAGTACATCACTGTTTTATCAGAGGAGTTTTAATTTTGACCAATATCATCGTTAAGCCTTGGGTTGGAGAGGGAGGAGGTAGAAAGGGAGAAGTGTATTTGTCAGGAGAAGCTGGTTACTGAGACAGCAACAGGGACATGGAGGGCAGCTGGAGATGTTGGCTCGGCCCCCCCAGAGTGCTTCAAGTGGGGCAGTGACAGACAAAGAACATACACCTGCCTGTCCGTGTGCTGGGGACACGGTCTCAGCGTGACTCCGGCGGTCTTGGGATTTTGCTCCTTGCTTTAGGTGCTGTTTTGCCAACAGCCTGGCAAAGGCATGCGCTGGGTGTCCGTGTGTCCGTGTCCATGTGTCCGCAGGTGCGGACGTGCATCTGCCTGCGGCCATCTAGCGGGCACTCAGCTCCTGCTGCTCCGGGCTGGGAGCTTGAACGCCCCTCTTGGAATGCTGTATCAAAGGCGGGATGAGACATTTGTTGAAGCAAAATTTCACAGTGATCAAGCCCGGAATTTTCCTTTAATAGATGAGGAATGCTTGGACAGGGAAATGTATATTTTTTTATAGTAATAAGAAAAAATTTCCAATATAAATTCTCCTGTCTTTTTACCCTAGCTTGGAAAGTAGCTGCCAAGAAAATGAGTCTTACCAGTGGAAAATTTGAGGTTGAAAAAAACCAGAAACAATACACAGGAATACCACAGATGTTTTAAAATATCCCTTCACTAATTCAGGTTTCTGAATTATGGCTAACCTCAGGGAGATTTCTCTCTTCAGCAGACAATGTTTCAGGCACTGATTTGGTAAACAAACTAATATGATGAATGTGGATAACAAGGATGTGTCAAGTCTTATGTCCCCTTGCAAAATGAGAGATTTCTCCTCCTACAATTTGCTCTTCTGCATCATCAATAATCTGAAGAAGTATCAGTTGTCATTTGTGATTCAGAGGAGGAAACTGTTGAGATTATCCTTGCCAGTCTTGACTCCCACTCCAAAACTGACAGTCAAGTACAGAGTGCCTGAACTTTTATTGCTTTGGGTAGTGGGCACTGGAGGTGAGTATTAGGTGATGATTAAAGTTAGAAACATTCCCACTTTTTGTAATACTGCAAGACAAACCTGTCCACTTTTCTCTGTTTACCATTTTTGGAGAATAGGCTTCCTGGAATAAGCTTACCAGATTTCACAAAGGGTGTTTGTATGAAAATAGAGGTGTGGAACTTTTCGGGGTGTAATACATTGGTCCAAAAGACATCTCTGCTCATCACATCATGACAGCTTTGCACAAACACACGACATGCTTCAGTCTAAAATTAATCAGAAGGTTTCACCACTGCCCATGAGATGTGGAAGCAGAAGCACAGGCTTTTCACCATACCCTGGGCAACAGGGAACCAGATGAAAATAAGTGAGAAGGAAGGTGCAGGATACAGAGCAATGTCAGTACAGTATTTCACAAAGCTGAGCCAATCCACAGGGTGGGAAGGGGCAAGAGGAAGTGTGGGCAAACCTAGGCATTGTTTGAAGCAGACCAAATCTTACAGAGTCACAGGAAGGTGTAGAGTACATGTCTCCAAGCAAGGACAATAAGCAGCCAAAGAATATCAAAACCACAAGAGATGTGTAAGGTGAATAAAGTGCAAGGGGGAAACCCTCTCCTGGAAAAGTGAGGTGCCAATAATAAATAACTGCATATTTGGATGTTGTGACTTATGTACCAACACAGCTGAAAATACCTCTGAGTTACTAAAATCACCGTGTGATTCAGCTCAGAATCAAGGCATGTGAAAATTTTGATAACACATCGATGCATTTGACGAAATCACTGAGATCTCATAAATGAAAGCCCCACTGATGGAGCCATCTGAATGAGGACAAAAATCATGAAAACAGGACACAGGGGGTAAACCTGCTAATTTGAAATGGCATGAGGGCTGCCAGTGCCATGCTGGAGCTCATAATTCAATGTTCCTCAGAATGAGCTTGTGACAGAGATGCTTGACTGGGATCTGATCCCAGCAATACACAGCATTGAACACCATTGGTTTCACTTCATTTCATGCCTCAGATGAAGATATGGTTTCTAGTATTAAAGCTAGATGGTCAGTCTTCCCAACTTCTGTTCTGCTAAACATTCTGGGATTTCAAACTTTCATTTTTCCTAAGCAAAACCAAGAGGACATTCCCATCAAATGACAAAAATTGGTTTTGGAAATCTCAGAATGATCTTAGTGAGATGTTGATGCAATTTTCATTTTCTCATTTGGCTCTAAAGCATAGATTTTGCATGTCTTGGGCAGCTGAGATTAAAATATAGCATTCAGAAGAAAGCTATAGATAATTTTGATTACACTTCCACTGTCTGGACACTGTTTTTCCTGTGTGATTGAATCAGCAGTTTTTGATTGAAGATTTTCTATTAGCTCTAGTCAAAATTGGGCTGCCAGCTGGCAAAGCCTCTGTAGCCTCCAGTATTTGTGTAACACTGCCATGGAAAAGGGGATGCTCCAGGGCAGCAGGTTCAGTGGCAGTGGGCAGTGCTGGGGCAGGCTGAGACCCAGCCAGGGAAAAGGAAGAGGAGCATGAGGCAGGCAGGAATATTATAGTGGCATCAGGGTAGGAGGGAAGAGAAAGGGCAAGTGGTAAAAGCATCAGTAAAGAGGTGCCTGCAGCTCTGCACCCTGTGCTCTGGGAATGGGAGGATTGCATGACCTGGAGTGAGACCCTCTGCCAGCATCCTCCTGACTGCACAGCCAAGCAAACCCATGTTTCACACAGGCATGGAGGAGAGGGTGAAGAGAGGCAGCTCTGCATTCCTGAGGGTCTTTGCTTAGGCCCTGGAGGATTTGCAACCCTCCGCGGTCCAGGGGTCACAGATCGGCAGTATGGAAGTGTAAATCACACGGTTTATCATGCAGGGGAGGTGAAGCAGCCTCCTTCCTCTGCCTGGTAAAATCCTCTCTGACATGCACAGAGTGTCTTCTGCTGGGAGAAGCTGGGATCACAGCCAGTGGGACCACCACCCCACCCATTCCACAGAGCTGCCTGGGGAGCAGGCTGGCTGGGCTCCTGGGAATGGCCAACGGTGGCTGTCATCACTGATAGTAAGACACAGCTCTGTCCCTACCATAAGGTTTCAGTGCTGGGCAGTTCTCTGCACAGGTAGAAGAGATATTACCTTGCCACCCGAGACCAGGACATCAATCTGTGGCACCAGCCTTACGGTCCCCATGGCAGAGCTGGGGGACTGGCAGAGAACCCAGCGCTCCCCACTGCAGCTTGAGCTCCCCCACAGCTACAAGCGCTGGGACAAGAGAGGGTTAAGCTGTCAGCTCTGTAATGTTAAACAGGTGTCAAAGGCACCTCCATATATCTGCAGATTGAAATCAAATTCTTTGCAGTATAAAAAGATAAATTACCCAGGCGATTCCCGCCTCATCCCACTCATCAGGCCAGCGCCAGACGGCAAGCAATTTTTTTTTTTAATGTGCTAACGACCTAATCAAGCAATCAAGTCGGAGAAGATTGCGGAGTGACCCCGAGCATCCATCTGCCAGCGAGACCCCGACATTCATTTCCATTCTGCAGTGTACTTTCCGGGAAAGGGAGGGAAAAAAATAGAAAAGAAAAAAAATCCTAAACAAATTAACACCCAATTTTCTGTGAGTCTAATTAGTTAAATGAGGAGGTGTTTGGGGTGTCCACGGGGAGGGAGGGACTGCCTCTCAGAGAGGGGCCTGGTAACTCCATGGCATTAATTAGCGCAGGTCAATGGCGTGGTTCCCTGGGGACCAGCTGCTTTAATTTCCCGTGATATTTCAGTGCCTGAGGCCCATCGATTCAAACTGAAATTAACTTATTTTTCAATCAGGCCTGGGCTGCCCCTGGGGCTGACTCTTCCTTTGCCTCCTTCTGAATAGACCTCAAGCAATTTTTCATCTAAAGCTGATGCCTCTGCTCGGGGGGAGAAGGGAGGGGAGCCGGGGAGGGAGGAGGGTGAGGGAGACAAGAGGAATGGAAATCGGAGAGAGAGCACTAATAGATTTCTGCGAGTATCACTCCCTCCCTGCCATTGCTGCCTGCCTCTCTGCTCACTGCCCCCCAGGTCACAGCTCAGAGATTATTCTGCCAATTTTCTGAGAAGATGAGGGGTTTTTCAAACTGGGAATTCAGGGCAAAGTGCACAGAGCAGCTTCCCCTTTCTTTCGAGCATCCGCCCTCATGCCAGCCCTCCCTGCAGGCACCACTGCCTGCAGCCCTGTACTGCTGCTCAGACACACAGCAAATAATAAAAGAAAATCCCAGGCACGAGAGCCAAAAGCCACTAGAAAAAAGACGTTGCAATGGCAAATTAATTACAGCCTGTGGAGAGGGATGGGACCTGCTTTCACACTTGGCTCTCTCCACTCCTTCAGGGGAGGGAGGGAGGCATACCCAATGCCAGTTGCATGGGGGAAGAGGTTGTATTGCCATTGGGATAAGCATCCACCCATCTGCTTTCATCACGCTGCAGAAATATATGCATGGTCCCACGTGGGAAGGGGTCTGGCATGCCTTCTCCATTCACAAAAACCATGTTCCTCCTTGTTGCTCGCTCCAGGTTTGGTTCCAGAACCGCCGGGCCAAATGGCGGAAGAGGGAGAAGTGCTGGGGCAGGAGCAGTGTGATGGCCGAGTACGGGCTCTACGGTGCCATGGTGCGTCACTCCATCCCGCTGCCTGAATCCATCCTCAAGTCTGCCAAGGATGGCATCATGGAATCCTGTGCCCCCTGGCTCCTGGGTAAGAGAGCAGCCAGCTTCCTGGGGGATGGCAAAAGGGTAGAGACAGGGGGATGCAAGGACGAAATCAGAGTCATGTTGAAAATAGGTGAAGTGTAGCAGGGCAAGGTCCCCCCATCCTGCCACCCTTGATGCCTCCATCTGTCAACGACCCTTGTCGATAGGCTTTGACCACTCATCCCAAATTCCTGCTGGACCTTGGATCATGACCTGCAGAATCTGGCTGGGACACAAATTTGCCCACATGCTCAGGCTGGTGCTAATCTTTCCTTCCCATGGCTCAAGCATATTTCATGCCCACCTCTGGAGCAGGGGCTCCAATCCTTACCCAAAGCAGGAGATCACCCCAGTCTCACTCATCCAGCCCTGTGATGATGGATGGGGTGCTAGGATTCCCAAATGCTCTGTCTTTGCCCAAGTTTCATTTGATTTTCTGTGCAGACATGGAGGTAGCAGCTACCCTGTCACACTCCTGCTTTTTGCTTCCCTCTTTCTGATCTTCCAGGCTGGTTCTGCCCCAAACTAGCATCTTGACAATGGGCTGTCCTGTCTGTGTGAAATGGAGAGAGGCAGAAGGGTGGTTGTGGTTTGATAAAAAAATAGAAATATCCCTCCTAATGAGGGATCTCCCTCCCCAGCCTTGGTGAAGCTCAGGCAACTATGCTGCTGTCTGAGACCCTCATCTCCATGTAGGAACAAGTTAGCTTCAGGTTCACAGAGTGAAATGAAGGGGAGAATAATTATAGACCTTTGGGACCAGCCACAGTCCACTGATGCTGGGCTGCCCTTGTGCGGGGGCCAGAGCGAGTGGCTCGCCATAACTGCTGTGTGAAGCAAGGGTTTCTGCTTTTCCTTAATTCTGGCCTCTCTTTATCTTTGCTGTTTTCAGTTCAAGATGGCTTTCCCATGCCCAGGCGCTTTTCTAAACCCGAATACCAACAATTCTTTTTAGGGATGCACAAAAAGTCTCTGGAGGCAGCGGCTGAGGCGGGGAGGAAGACAGAGGTGGAGCGCCAGGCCCTGCCCAAGCTTGACAAAGGTGACAAAGAAGAAAGGGGTCCTGATCCCAAAACCACCATTTCCCAGGAGGAACTGAGAGAAAACAGCATTGCTGCCCTCAGGGCCAAAGCTCAGGAGCACAGCACCAAAGTCCTGGGGACCATTGCCGGGGACACCCCAGCCCCAGGCAGGAAGCCGGAGACAGGGGAGGAGGCGGCAGTGGCAGAGGATGAGAGACAGACGGAGAAGTTGAACTCATCGCAGAAGGAGGAGAAGTTGATCTAGGGGGAACAGAGGTGGCAGAAGCCAGCCCCGACAGACACTGTGTCCTCTGGGGGCCATGTTCCCCCTTGGACTGCCAGGTGTCCCTGGCCACCCCTGCCAGGGAGAGGGGCCCTGGTCTCTGTGTCTGGGGCTGCCTGGCAGGGGTGCCCACTGCCTGCTCCCCTTGAGCATACCCCTGCCCCTCGCTTCCTCACCCCCCACCCCTTCCTTCTGGGGGACCGGGAAGTGTCACATCATCACTGCCACCAATGACACTAAGGCTCTGGTCCTTCAGCCTCACGACAGGGGTTTCTCCTTCTGCTGCAGCCCCAAACCCCATGTGCCGTCCTGAAGCAAGCCTATTCCCTGCTGCCCTGCCTCTTCTTGGTGCACATCTCTGCCCAGTGCTGCCCAGGCCCGTTCCCCTTGTACCCTGTCCCACCGTGCCCCAGGCAGACACGCCACCTTCTGCTGGCCATCACCTCTGCCTGTGGCCCAGGCTGCAGCAGGACAAGCCCATGGCAGTGCTTGCATGACATGATGACCATCCATCTAGGGTGGTTTGCACCTTCCGCCCATCTCTCCCTGCTCAGCACTAAGGTCTGCTGGGGAGGGACTGCAGTTTAAGAGCAGTTATGTTTTGCCTCTCTTTGGCAGGGAGAGGCAGGTTTAGCCTACAGGCACGACACCCTGGTCCCACCTGGCACCCTGAGCTGACCTCAGCCCATTTCACTGGCTCCTGCAGGGCTGGGTCTGACTCTGCCCTAAACACCAAAACCCTACACCCCTGCAGAGGGGATGAATGGTGAATTTATTTATTGAATACATTATTCCAGGTGAAACAACACCATCCACCTAATGTATTTATTGAATTAAATTTGTCCAGTGCACCCTCTGAGTGTTAAAGGGAATGACAGCCATGCACATCCACCCTGATACACCCTATAACATGTACACACATCCCATAGGAGCACGTGCAGACCCACACAGCCAAACTCCCTCCATGGCACCATCACCTTTCCATTGCAGTAAAACACTATTCCCCCTCCAAAAGCTGTAGGACAGTGACTTCCAGGTGACCTTTTCTGTCCTGCTTTCAGCTGTGAGCACCCTTTCCCCAGAGCTACTGTTTTTCTTCCATCAAAGGTTAAGCCTAGTCATCCAACTCCTGTTTGTCTTTGTCCCCCGATCGTTTGACGTGTTAGATGATAGCCCATGGAGTGTAAATAATGTATATACAGTGAGAAAATAATTCAGTATTGAGGTGTTTGAGATATGGACCTGTAACAACTTCTAGTCATCCAGCATCTGTGATTTATGTGCCATTCTCTGTAAAGATATGAAGAAGAATAAAACTAAACAGGAACACTGTGTATGAGTTCACTCACCAATGTTCAAGGAGGGCAAATTCAGCCAAAGCTGAGAGGGAGTTGGATGTCATGCTGTAGCCAGAGAGAGGTAAGAGATCCAAAGCAGCCCAGAGGTCTGCACTTTCCTCCCCAGCGAGGCATGGAAGAGATGGGGCTTGGGTCTCTCTGCAGTGAAATACAAAACTGAAAGGGGTGTGCTTGTACTTGGAGCAGAAGTTACAGCCTACAACTGGTGAAAGAACAAGTCACTTCAGCATCCAGAGCAGCTCTGATGCTTTGGGTCATCCCATATCACATGTGCCCTGGTGTTCAGAGTCAGACAGACCTCCAGGCAAGTTCAGCCTCTGCCAGGAACAGGCTGCAGGCCCTGCTGGCCTGAGGAGCTGAGGCAGCAGCCGGACACTATATCTGCAGAGGAGCTGGTTGAGAGGGAAGGGCACCCATGGGATTTCCAGCAAGGTGAGCTCCAATTCGAGAGCAATGGAAGCCTATTCTGGGTTACCAGGTGCAGTGGGCTTAGTGCTGGCCAAACACCAATGCATCCCCTAGAATTATTTACCCATTTCCTGCTGTGAGATGGATTAGGAGGAGGGCAAAACAAGCTCAAAACTTTAAAGGGTATAAAGAAAACTTTATTAACAGAATTAAAAGAAAAATATAGAAAGGAAATCAGAATAAACCTTCAGAAGACTTCTCCTCCCCCCACACCCTCTTTTCTTTCCCACTGAAAACGTAAAGAGACAAAACCTGTGACTTTCAGTCAGTTTGCCACCTGTAAAACAGTCTTTCTTCAGGTCTCTTAGGGAGAGGAGTCTCTCTTGCCATGCCATGGAGACTTCTCCACAAGAAACAGCTCTCTCATGGTTTTTAATTTCCACATATAGCAGCTGCCCGGAAATTTGCAATCATGAAGTCCCTCCATATCTTGCAGCCTCCCCACAGCTGTGTTCATGGGCCATGTCAATTTATGGGCTATTATTTTAAGGATGAGCTGCTGTAGAATAAAAGCAAAAATTCTTTTCATCCATCTCTGGGAACAGAAGTCTTCTTCTTTCCATTCCTGGGCAAGGTTTCTCCTCTCATCTCAAGATTCTCATTGGATCACAGCTGCTGCAACATCTGCTTATTTCAACATGGATGCTTCTGCTCATGGCTGTGGTTAGAATGCTACATTCTCCCCAATGCATTCCACGAATTACAGGGAAAAAACAAAGTCTGATATATCAAATATATCTTCACCATACCCTTACAAAAGAATTTCAACCCAAAACTAAGGCATCTCCTCAATCCCCTCCTGTCTAGAATTTGACTCCTTCTTCACTGACTCCAGTGTCCCATGTTGCTTGCTCTACATGTCTTCACACTTTCCTTTTCCTGATTCGGGAGAGAACTGGTGTTTGTCGGCTCGTTTGTTCTCAAGCTTAATCAGTTGAAACAGTTTTTATAGAGCTCTACAGCGCTGAAAGGTTGATCTGATCCAGGCTCTACATCAGAGATCGCTCACCGCCCTCTCACACGCAATCCCGGCCAGGCGGCCGCGCCCCGGGGGCTCCTGGCCTCGGGCCTGCCCCAGGGCCCGGCACACCCCAGCCCAGCCAGTCACTGCACAAAGGCCGAAAGCCAAGAGAGCTGTCCCGGGCTTTATTCGTTTATAAACCTGCTTTGCCACAGAGGCGTGTGCAACCCTTTTAAAGTGGTTTAACTGGGTGTCAATCTTCAAAACCAGCCAGCTGATTGCTCTGCCAGGACACACAGGGAGCCGCCCCTGGGTTCCTCCACAGAGGAAAGCCAAACTTTGTTCAACCACCCACCTGCCCTGCTACGAGAATCTGGGAATGGTCTGGTGGAAAAACCTAACGTCTTCCCAGGATAGGAAAAATGCTGAGGTGCATAGGAAATAAGAGACTCGTGGAACAATTAGGCTGCTTGGGCCTGACTTTGTGGAGAGGCTGTAGGCCCAAAGGTCCCCAGGGGGACAGGGCCCTTGTAGGTTCCCACTGAGCTCAGGGTGGCTGTGGCACAAAACAGGTGTGTGGTCTGGGATGAGTGCCTGTCTCCCACACTGGTGTCCAGCTTGTCCACCAAACATACCAGCTCCACAGATTGTGAGTGGTGTTGCACTTTGAAGAGCAAAGAGGAGATCTACCAACCCTGTCATCTCTACTGTTGATTCCTTAGGTATCCCTGGCTGAAAACTACCCTACTTGCAGGGAGAGCCTTTCTCTGCTCTTCTCTTTTGCCCCCTAGGAAGAAAAGGGAATTTGATCAATGACATTAAGGAATCCTGCAAATTTTACCTTTAAAAACTACCTATATAAGGCCTGAAGGAAAGGCAGGAAAAAAAAACCTTTTTGGAGGCAGAGAGGCAGCAGAGCTCTGCTATGGTGGGTGGTGGGAAGTCCTTCTGGAAAAATTGATGTCTCAGGACCTCTTTGCATCTCAAAAGCCTGGCCCAGTATAGCACAAACCATTTACAATGATCACAAGAGATTTCTGGAAACTTACCTGACTTATCCAGGTAAGGAAAACATATGGCAAGACACTTGCACACATTTGGTTGGGTATGGTTGGGTCCACTTGCTGGCTTTCTGTATGGGGCAGGATTCAGGAGATCTGGTATTGCTCCTCTGTTCTTCCAGAGACTCTCCACAGTCCTGAGGCCTTTTATCTCCCCAGGTCTGGTATCACACGACTGCCCCTTCCCAACTGGATCACACATTGTTTTAAGGCAGTGGATTTGTCCTTCTGCCCCCAGTCCCCTTGAGCACAGGCGTCTTGCTGCATCTCTTGCAAACCCTGTCAGCCGCTGGGGACTCACCCAGAGGCACCGAACAAGCCCAAGAGCGTGTATGTCTTGATGTAATACGAAGAGAAGCAGCAAGACCACAGGCACCTGCACTGGAGCAAAGTGCTCCCAGCACATGGTGATGAGACAGGCACAGCATTAGCCAGTACACTGCAGAATGAGGGCAGGAGCCTGATGATAGAGCAGATACCAACACAGGCAGAAGACTAACAAGGAAGGCAGGCACATTTACCCTGAGCAGTTGAGGAAGAAGCAGAGTACCTGAAGTACCTGGCCCTGAAGCCAACAGAGAGGAGGAAGGGAAATGTGAGAGTATGGCTGCTGAGCAGCTCACATACTCCCTCCAACAAGTGACTATGGCATGGTTCTGGCTACTGCAGGACTTTTCTTCACTGGGGATGGTGCATATCGTACCAGTGAGGGCTACTACCAGCTAACAGAACGGCTGGACGACATCATTAGCACCAGTGGACACCAGCTGGGCACTGCAGAGGTGAGAATGTTGTGGTAAGAGATGTGGGTGGGAGGTAAAACCATCCAAACTAAAGCAGTCAGGGGCAGCAGGAAAAGACGAGTGCTTGCAGACCTACTGAGGCAGGAAGGAAAAAAGGCAGAGGCCATCTGAGGTCTTTCGTTTTCTCCCTGCATTATTGTGGGCTGCAGCAGCCAAGTCAGGTCAGGGCAGCTGCAGGTGGCAGACAGCCTGCCAAAAGCACGGATTCAAACCTCTGCCCTGTTCTCTTCCAGAATCACCATGTGGCAGTGGCAGAGACTGCTGTCATTAGCTACCCACATGAGATCAAGGGAGAAGGTAAGATGCTTTCTTTCCTGCCCCAAAACATCTCCCAGGGCTATGGCACTGCAGTGGGAAGAGGCACTGGTAGCAATGCTGTGTCCACACCATACAGCATGTTAGTGGGGATCTCAGCACAGCCATCACAACCTGCACATGCCCACCAACCAGATAGGCTTTGCCTAAGGTGGCAGCAGCACAGGGTGGCAACAGCAGTACTTCTGTGTGGTCAAAAGCATGCAGTTTTGGCTACAGAGCATCCCCTGAGGCTACCAGCAGAGAGGACCTCTCCTGGCCCTAGGTCCAGGCAGGTCTCAGGGGCACGGTATGCACTGCTCTGTAACCTGGTGATCCTTCTGCCAGGAGCCTATGTGTTTGTTATGCTGAAGAAGGCCAGTGGCTACACATAGGAGACTCTTGCTGCCGAGCTACAGGAGCTCATCTCAAAGAAGATTGCTAAGTATGCAGCTCCAGATTATGTTCAGGTAACACAAGCAAACTGGTCCAACACCCACACTGGCAGATTGACTGGGCCCTTTCTCTCAGCTTTGACTCTGCTCTCCCCATTATAGGTCACACACCGGCTGCCCAAGACACGCTCAGGTAAGATTATGCGTTGGGTGCTATGGAAAAGTGGCGGACAAGGCCAGTGAGCCTGGGGACCTAACCACCCTGGACGACCATGAGGCTGTGCAGCAGATCATAAAAGGAGACAAGCATCTTGTGGAGCAGCAGAAGGGCCACTAGCCTGGCTCTGCCAGCAGCAACCTCCTCCTTTTTCACTGCAAAACCAGGGAAACATCCAGAAAAGCCACTAACAAGTGGTGGCCAGTAAGTTCTCAGATCACACCTCCACTGCAGTCTTGGAGTGACCTCTCCACAACACAAGAGACCCTCAAAACCTGTCTCAGTACACCCATGTAGACAGAGGAGAGAACATGACTCATCATAGGCAAAAGAGTAAGGGGAAATAAACTGTTTCATTCCACGAAAGCAGAGGGCAGAGAGCCCTCCTTGAGGTTCCTTGTGCCTTGCAGTAGCTGCAGAGGCAGAAGCAGGTAGGATGTTCAGCCCTGGATAGGGATACTACTCTCACCTCTGCTTTGCTCTTTTGCAAAAGTCTTGTCCAGGACCATTGCCAATATACAAGCATCTCCTCCAAAGCAAACCCCAGAAAAAAACACATGCAACAGTCTGGTAAACAAATATTCACTCTTCTCCATGAAACCAGTTTGAAAACAGTCCCCAGATTTTAATACAAAAATGTTCCTTTCACCTGTAGCCATGCATTATGAAGAGAGCAGAGACATGCCCCTTCTCTCCTCCCCTTGCCTCCTGATGGAAAACACAATTCTCGACAGAGCCCCAAGGTACATAAATCTGCTCTGCAGAGCTGTGTGGAAGACAGAGCAAGGCACAGAGGGCAGAAAAGGAGGCTGCATTCTAGCCTCACACCAATGTATCCCAGAAAAAGGGGAGGTTTCTCTGGCTATTGTTTTTACAAGACCCATGAACAGCATCTTCCCTCAGGGCGGCCAAGCAGCTCAGCTGCTTTCTCTCCTGAGAGCCAGGGAGGCAGAAGGAGGCTGGGAAAAGGGTGGCATAGTAATGTCTACTCTTGGCAAAACTCCACACCATGAGTTCAGACATACTGTGTGTCCATCAGCAAAATCCAGAACTGGTCTTGCACTGCTTGACACAGCTGCTGGCTTGGCAGCTCCATGTCTGCTATTGTATTGAGAGCTCTTCCACACATGTGCAGGTTTTGTGGCTGGCCAGACAAGGGCGTATTCTTTAGTGTCCTTCCTCAGAGGGGAGCCGCTTCATCTTCTCACATCGAGTGAGCTCCCATCTTCCCTCCCCATGAAGTTTCAAAATCCAACTGTGGAACTGCAATTCAATAGCACATTGAGGGATGTCTCTACAAGGGCATGGTCCACCCACAGTGAGGTCCTCCAACCTTAGTCACTCCCCTCTGCTCACCAGAGACCCTCTCTACCTCACCACCACGAGGGAGGCATGGAGCACTGCTTCCCTGTCTCACCTTTTCCAGGCTGGGTCTGTGTCCCACACTGATCAGTGTCATGCCCAGCTGAAGGCACATACGGTACAGCTCATGCTCCACCTCTTCTGTCAAGGCGCTGGTGGCTTCATCTAACACTGAAAGAAAAGTCATAAGCCCCAAAAATCCTCTCCCAACCAGACATGTCCTGCAGGCAAGAGCAGCAACTCGCAAGAACATTTCAATATTAATTGGAGCTCACCAAGAGCATCTGCAGAAGGCAAGTGAGGAGAAAACTAAGGACTCTGGTATTCCTCCAGCACTCCTCTGGCACAGTTGGTGTCAGGCAACTAGGAAAGCTGTCTTTTTCCACAAGAATCCATCCAAACCACACTATTCATCTCATTCCTCTCCCTCAACAGCTGCCCACCACTGCCGCATTCCCATCATGGCAAAAGGCAAGACATGACCTTCTCCAGGTAGACCACGTGCCAGATTGCCAGGCTGAACAGCAGTCAGTGTACTCTTCCAGCATAGACCCTACATAGAGAGTGTAGGATGGCCTGTGGCACCCTCCTGACTGAGGGTAAATACTATAGTCCTGGAGCAAAGAAATTCAAATAATCTCTACAGCTTTTAATTTGCCATTCACAGGTTCCTTCTGCCAGACATCACTTAAATGTGCCACAGGCTCCAGGGGAAAGAGAGGTACTTACCTGCTACTGAAACTGGCTCTGTTCACCCACATCCAACCTGGCCCTCATGGCAAGTCCTCCAACAGCTCAAGCCCCCAGAGCCTAAGGAATTGGCCCCATTAGCTAATTGCAGATGCTTCTGTGGTCTCTCAGGACTGTTCCTCCCATTGCTCCTTGTCTTCTTTTGGCACATCAGAGCTAAACCTTCCATATTGCCACAAAACCGTACAGATGCTTGAGAGCTTCAGATATGACAGCTGCTGCTACACTCCCCAACATACACACTTCTTTGCATAGCAACTGGTGAGCAGGCTAACAAAGTTTTTCTGGTGCCATTGGATATGGACCATGAACATTAATCACCAGTTCGCCAAGAAGAAAATGTCTTATATACAGCCTCTTGATTTACCAGCATCCACCCAAATAATTAAATATTTTCACTTTTCACAAGTGAATCCTCTGTGTGCTATGCTGCTAAAATAATGGCCAAGACAAAGCATGTTCCTAGCACAAAAGTGATTTCACAAGCTGTCTTGCTTCTCTGTACACCAAAGGCCTTGTCATTTTTTCTCCACTCTTTTGTAGTCAGTCACTCACCTGCATATTTTGGCTGGAGGTAGAAGAGCCGTGCAAATGAGAGTCTCTGCATCTCCCCTGGGGACAGGATGTCATACCTGCAGCAGGGTCAAGATTCAACACCTTCCTTAAGAAACAGAGCTCGTTTGCTGAAAATCTTATGGCTTCTGATATTGGAAATCAGCAAACAACTGTCCCTGAGTGTGCCTTGTGCCCCCCTCCATATTGGGACTTGCTCTGCACCCCTGTACACAGTCAGCTGCCTGCAGCACACCACAGCTGGTGATTGTTGGCATAGATGCTCGGGCCATGAAGGCTTTGCTCCTGTATAGTGTCCACATCTCACAAAACACAGATGGACACAGATAAATCCAGCAGCAATGTGCATCTGCTTAGAACTGTCCCCCACTCAGAAATCACCCAAATACACACAGACAGAGAGCTCCCTTACCAGTTCCAGTCCACCTGTTCATCCAGTCCTCCAGTCCTTGCCAGCAAATCCGTCTACAGAGAGCACAGCAGACTTGTGAACACAGTCCCCAACCTTGTCAGCCTAAGGCCCTGAGCATAACCACCTGCATTTTGCCAGTCTCCCTTTCCCTACATGAGCTGAAGTTGTACCATATTTCTCCTCCTCTTTCTGTCCCACGGACAGTTGTGTCCCAGGCACAGACAATGTCCCCACATAAGTTCAGCACACAATCATGCTGTGCTGCCACAAAAAATCATCCCTTCTTCCCTCACTGGTGGCACCAGGAAAGAAGGCAGCAGTGCTACCAGTGACTCACCAGCCCAGCCAGCTCCAGAAATCTCACAATCCTCTCATCATCTGCAGACCCTAGGGAGAAAGCCATACAGCATAAGGAGAGGCAGTGTGTGCTGAGCCACTGGTGAATGAAGGAGCTGGTGAGGCAGGAGAGAGGAACTGGAGTATCTCCTGAGGCTCAGTGTAGTTGACCTGACCACTTACTTATACCAGATCCTGAGCTTTGGCTGCGATAGCCCCAAAGACACCTTCCTTGAAAGTATTAACCATGCCTGCAAGCAGCATACCAGGAGGTAGCTGGGCTCCACAGATACACCTGAGATTTGCCTCAGCTTATGGCCGCAGACAGAACACAAGGATCCAGGCTTCAACTGCCAAGGCCCTGCCCAATAGTTGTGGTCTTAAAGCTGAGACTGCACACTACAAGTAATGGAGTCATGGGAACGGGGTTCAGGTAAGAGCCAGCAAAAGGACCCTACGTGGAAGAGAAATACCTCAGGGTGAGTCAGCTGTGGAGCAGAACATACACTTGAGCTGGTACAGACAGCATCTATGGAAGCTGACAGAAAGGGGTCTGCATCTGTCATGGACGTCTCTGAAGCTGCTGGAGAGCCACAGCAGTAGCTGATAGCTGTAGTTACTCTCATCAAGATTGTGACTTCCAAGCTACAGCAGACCACATGTGGTCTGGCTTTGGAAGAGGGAAGGGGAGAGAAAGGATCCATATATTCTGACCACAGAGTGTGCAAAGCCCTGGGACATAATTTTGAAAAAGTGGAAAAGTAAAAGATGGAGGTGGATGGAAAATAAGATTAAGGCAAATATGGTTTGCTGAAAGTCAGACTGTACCAAACAAATCAGATGTATCCCAACAGCAACATATATCATGTCTAGCACAGCAGGAAGAACATGGCCAACTTGTCCTCATTATACTAAGAGAGCAAGTTCTTATCAAGTGAGTATGCTTCCTCAGAAAAGGAGGGGGACACAGAATTGACCTTAACACACACTAATCTAGGGAACACCGGAGCAACAAAAGCAAAATGGATGAGTGTTCCTAATGGGTTACAGCAGGGAAGAAGCTGTACTGGGAACAGGACAGTGAGGCAATACCACAGCATTGGTTAATTGCTCTAATGGATTTTCACAAACCTGAAAGTGGATAGATCTCCTTCAGGGGATAGATCACCTGTTTAACAGAGCAAAAGAAACCATGTCAGAGGGAGCTGGACAATGTCCATCAGAGATGCAGTAACATGAACTCAAGCACAAGGGAAGGAGCAGCCACAGGTATCCTCCCCCTTGCAGGCCTGTCTGCACCCCAAGGGTTTGCAGGGCATGGCCACAGCTGGGAGCACAGCTGAGGCCAGAGCAAAGAGAGACCCTGTGCTCACCTGCTCACGCAGGCTTCCATCAGTGAAGAAGGGCCTCTGCGGTAGGAACACCACTCCTCGGGGGCCAAAGCAGGTCAGCATCCTGATGCTCCCTGCACAGAGACACTCATCACATCTGCAGTATCAGGCAGGAACTTCCCACTGCCCTGTGTAGTCCTGTCCCATGAAGTAGCCAACAAGTCCCCACAAAAGTATGTTTGCAACACAGAGCAAAGAAATGAGAGCCAAAGACTGTGACAAGAGATGGGTGGCTCAAATCAGTTTATCAGTAGTGTCACATTCACCATCACATGGTGGCACTGGCCTCACAAACTGCCATAATGCCACCTTGCAAACTCAGGGTAGCCTTGGTTAAGAAAAAGAAGGCTGTCCTTACCTCGTGTGCTCTCCCAGAGTCCTCCGAGGACCCTAAGGAAAGATGTCTTCCCTGTACCAGTGTTTCCCACAATCATCACATTGTTTCCTTGTGATATCCTGAGGCTCAAGTCCTTGATGAGCAGCTTGTCAGAGGATGGTACTGAGAGTGTCACTCGCTCCAGAAGAAAAGCAGTGTCGCTTGGCACTGGGTCCTCGCCAGAATGGCTGCTGGGCCACCATCAAGACAAAGACCAAGAGATCCAGGGGTAAGTGACCATGCTGAGATTGGCAAAAATCAGGCACCTTAGACCTCTGTGACAGTGCCTCTGTGACAGTAGCCCTGCCCCACACACCCTGGGAATGACAACTGACAGTGAGCACTGCCTGCTCCAACCAAATGCATGCAACAGACTGTGACACAGGGGCCACCTCCATCCCATGGCAACCTCACACTCTGGCACGTAAGCTGCAAGCCAGCCAGTTGCTGAGAGGCGACTCACCCGTCCAAATCCCAACTGGTTTTGGCTTCTGAGTAGTTACCATTTTTTTTTCTGCCAAGGCTCAGCAAGGTCTCCTGCAGTTCGCCAATCCTAGACACACAAGAGGTTGCATGAAAGACAGTGACAACTCCAGCAGCCTCCTCACAATATCCAAACTTCCAAACTTGCCCATGCTTGCACACGAGCAACTGGTTTGTTGTTTTGTTTTTTTTTTTAGCACAGACGTGGGCAGAATCTTGTTCTGCACTGTCCTTTCCTGCAGAGATGTAGAGATGTGCCCACAGATAAGCTCACCTGTGTGTGTAGCCAGCTACATCAGTCACAGTGCTGGAAAGATCTATGAGCTGGCTGAAGCAGCCAATGAGGTAGATGGAAACAAAGGCATTCTGGGGAGAAATCACATGGCAGAGTAAGGGTCAGTGCTGAGCTGGAGCCCTGGCCCTTATTCTATGACTGCAAGGAGGCGGCCAAGGAGTCCACACAATTGGACACATCAGCTGTCTCAGCAAGATGAATGAGAAGCGGCGAAGTCACCCAGGATGGTGGGAGTGAAGATGACCACATTTGAAAGAGGCAAGGCTTCCCTGCTTAGTGCAGCAGTTTTTGCCAGGTAGATATGTCCTGTCACCCAGGGATGGTGTTTGCAGAGCGCCTGATGGCCTGCCCAGGGCCCAGCATGCTTGCCCAAATCACACAGATCCATACCACCACCCCTGCCTCAGCACCGTATATGGCTCAGAGCAGCCTGCAGTGTCCACTTAGCTATTTTTAGGTCTGCATTCTCTATCACAAGCCAGTTTTGAGTATCTGTAACAAGTCTGGTCACATGGTGAATGCAAGCCAGCTCAGCCTCACTGGTGGCAAGGCTCACCACAGGCAATAGCCCAGGGCATAATCCAGACTCGCAGCACTGCACAGACCCCCATCTCTACCTGCACCGCTGAAAACCAGAGGCTTTCTGACCTCCTGTTTTTTTTTAGACACAGAAGTCTGAGCCAGGAAACGCTTAAATAAACATGTCCTTGACAGTTCTCAGGCCCAAGTTAATCACATACCAGTTGGATACAAGCTCCCGTTTCCATAACACTGTGAGGAGGGACAGTCTAACCCAAAGAACAAGTGCTGCAGGTTATCTAGCCCCAGGGCCACCAGCACCACATGAAACCTGCATCCTCAGTGCCTGCTCACCCTCCACAATGGGGTCACAGAGATTACCCTTAGCTCACCTTACTGACAAGGGAACTGAGCTCTGTTGGACTCAGGTCGCCATAGACACCAGAAAAGATGGGAATGGCAATGACCACGTAGCTCAGGATGCTGCCCAAATAATCAAAGGTGTTGATCCCAACTGGGCATAAACACATTGAAAGAAGACAGTGAGTTAAAGTAGAAAACTCTGTCCCAGTAAGGCCCAAGTGCTGACCCTGATCCTAGTCAGAAGAAGAGCCATGTTCTTGCCTCAGCCCTTTATGATGAACCAGAGCAGAAAAACCCATTTTTTGTGTAGGATAGCGCAAACACCCGGGTGAAAATGCATTTGCAAAGCAAAGAGCACTTTGGGGCAGGCCCCTGAGCAGAGACTCATCATCCAGACACAGCTCAGGGACTACTGTGGGGCAAAAGCCACTTTGCTTGCTTGGTGCTATGCTTCAGGGGCCTGACTGATTCACAGCAAACAGGAGGGAAGGGCAAAAAGGAAGCCTTGGGGTGAGATAGTTTGACATGAAGTGTGTCTTGGGAGCACATGGGCAGAAGGACTTAAGATTCCAAATTCCCACAGACACTTCTGTTCAGGGTTCTTCCTCCATTACACTGCCCAGAAGCTCGCTGTGGTGCTGAGATCAGGAAGAGCTATCTTTATAGAGGTCATTTAAAGAAAAATCCTGGACTCAGTGAAAAAGGGAGAAGGAATATTTTCAGGGAATAACTATGCTTGAGGGACAGGCTCTATAGGAAAGCAGTTTCCACACCTCCCCAAAGCTCAAGCCCTTCCTTCTTTTTTTGGTGTGTGAACACCTGCACCACAAAAAGCCAGATTCTGGGTCCCCTACAACTTTACCTCTCTATGAGGCTTTTACACTACAAGATTCCTATTTAGCACCGCAGGAGGCACCCTCTGCTCACCCTCAGGGCTTTCATAGACTAGCTAGAGGCAGAAGAAGAAAACAGAGCACCCACCCAACTGCTCTACCAGTAGTTTCCCAGCGTATGGGCCACCACAATGGAGTTACCACACATCCCACTTCACCCCCCAGTCTGCCCACTCACTGGATAGCCACAGCTCCTTGCCTATCAGCTCTCTCTGGGTCTTCAGCAGGCTCTGCAGCCTCCGGTTTGTGCGCATGTGCTCCACTCGCCCAGCCCTGTAAAAGTAAGAATACAACATGCCACAGACATCCTACGACCATGGGCTTTAAAACTGAAGCTTTGAACGGGCCTGGCACCTTTGCCTCTGACTAATAAGCTCTTAATTGACCAGGAACTGAACAGCCAGGACTGCCTTCCTGAAGGGTATCATCAAGGAACTCTGGCTGAAGCAAGCAGTCCTGCAAATCTATCCCAGAGCCATGGCTGCTGCTGCTGCTGCTGTTGCAGCAGGAGAAGGTAAAGCCAGGCCAGACACTGTCAGTGAGGCTCCAGCCTGAAGCAATGTACACCCAAGATCAAACACAATTCTCAAATACAGCCTGGTTGGATAAGAGGGATGGCACTGCTACACAGCTGGACCCAGAAAGGAGAGGGCAGAGGAGAGTCCAGGGGGTAATAATCAGCCCACATGGCCTGCATGGCCAGCAGCCTTAGCCCACCACTTCCCACTTCCCAGGAATGGGACAAAGGCAAGTCCTGAGCAATGCAACCCCCAGTACAGGTACCCCAGTTCCACAAATTCCCCCTTCCCCGGGCTATCTCCATCAGGTCACCCACCACACAAGCCAGTGGCCAGGCTGAGCCAGGAGCAAGGAGACATCTCCTAAACCACCACCTTCAAGCAAGTGTGACAGCTCCTTCTGCTGCTCTGCAAGGCCTGGGCTGCCCTCAGGTGGCAAAATGCAGAAAGAGCTCCACATCTCATTTGAGACGCCCACCTACCATAGCACCTATTGCCCCTGACATCCAACAGAGGCTTGTGCCCACTACACAAACCACACTCCCACCACGATCTATGCAACAAGAGCGTCACTACGGCCCAAGAAGATAAGGCCAGAAGCAGCACAAAAACATCCAAAATAAGATTTTTGAGGTCTCATTTCTAAAGATTCTCAGTTCATAGAAAAATACATTTTCTTTCTCAAAAATGCACCTGGTTAGAATTCATTTTGGGTTTATTGCCTTATAACACATCTCAGGTAACTACTGAGCTGCAGTCTTTGCTTTCCATGTATTAGGAAAGGAGACAGGCTTGGACACAAGGAATTAAAGGTGAGAAAGGAACTGGGGACCTTGGTTCTAGAGCTTATTATTCTCTTGCAGATGAGGAGAGATTACTGTATTGGTTTCCTCTTTTCCTCCCATTCATTTCACTTTTAAAGGAAATTTGCCAAAGGCTTAGTAACAAAATAAGTAAAAAGGTGGCAGTGCTCTGCTTCTGTTTCTTCCTTTACCGAAGTAACATTTAGGCAGTCTTAAGAGGACAAGATCACAAGCTAGAGAAGTTGAGCAATCAAAACCAGCCACTCACCACATGTTCCTTCTCTCGCAGGATTCTAGGAACACAACCTTTTAAAAAATTCCTTAATTTTTAATTATGATGCATACCATTAAATGCCTGGTTGTGTGCAACTCAGCTAAGTCCTGGTTTCACACAAAATGAAGATTTTCTACTAAAACACTGTACTGAACCAAGACATTCTGTTTTCTGGTATAATAATCCACTTTCCATTTTCTACTTACTAATAGAATTTAAAAAATCAAAATTCTGAGGGAAAGTACTGCATCTTAAATAAGGGCATGTAATTACAGTATCTTTTCCATGCCAAAAAATTACCATCAACCAGTAAGAATCAGAGTACAAAGAAATAACTCAGACTTGCCAGTGCAAACCATGATTGCTTTTGGTTATTAAATTAGTTTCATGCCTGTCAATATAAGTTGTTATGAAATCAGTGATTTTGAATCAAACCACTGTGGGGACAGCACCGCAACACTCGAAATGCCCAACTTCAATATAGTATGAAGGATCACAGGCAGGAAAGACCGGAGAGAGGACATGTGCTACAATTCCTGGAAGAATGCAATTTCGCAACATATAGGGCAAAGGCAGACTCGTGCCAAGAGAGAAGCAACAACCTCCTGCCATCACAACACAAACTACACCAAATTCCTGCCTCTTTTACTGGTGAACCAAGCAGCAGATCGACAGGCTTCAGGGCATCACTAAAAGGGGGAGGTATTGCTGGGCTTCTGATTGTGTGCTCAGCAAGCAGAGGTAATGTGGCCAAGAAGCAGCTACCACACCCAGAGAAGACATGCAGCAAGCAGCAGCAGGATGGGGCCAGAAGCAACATGCAACAAGTCCTCAGCACAACCAGATGCAATAAGACTTTGAGCAATCTTCCAGGTAAGGACCTGGCAAAACATCAGTAACGGTCTCTAAGCCAGCACCAAATCTGTATCTGCCCCTGAGGATGTTAGAAGGGAGGCAAAGGAAAGGTAGTTCTCTCCAGTTGGTGTGGATTATTTCTGCAGATGATGCACAGAATGCAAAAAACTGTGTGACAGGGCTGTATGATGCTGCAGTGGAAGGGATAGAAAGCTGCAACAACAGAACTTGGGCTCGTCTGGGATATGCGAACACAACAAGGATGCCCTGAACTGGGACAATCCTTTTGAGGACACAAAGAAATTACCACTACTAACCTGTAGAAAGCAGCTGGTTCTGCATTGACACGAATCTGCATGTGCTTGAACCTGTACAACCAAAGAAACATAATTGTGCACAAATGCTCAGTGAAATATGTAGCCAAAACCATTCCTAGAGGAAACTTATCTTGCATGTTAGAGCAGTGATCTGAGGCATCTCTTGACAGAAATAATCAACAGGCTCAGAAAGGCACTAGAGACCAAGGCTTAACACAAGGTGCCATCATTCAAGGCCAGCTCAGTGGTACATTTGTTCGATACCCTGCTCTCTGTGCACATCTTAGCCCTTGGGCTTACTGTTTGCTGCTAGTCCAGCATCTCCACCACACAAAATCACCACAGCCAACTGCCCTGGACTGGGCTCCCTTTGTCACAACAGCTTATGCTGCTGTCCGTGCATACCTTGAGCCCCAGGGAAAGCTACAAAGCCCCTGCTTACACACACAGCCAACCCTGCAAGCAAGGGGGAGGAGGTGAGTCACAGAGCATATGGAAAGACTAGGCTGTGAGATTGAACCAAGGGCATTGCCTGCCATGACACAAAGCTGTGAATGGCTGGCAGGGGCTCAGTACACTGACTCCGAGGCACAATTGCACAGGTAGTGGGGAAAGTCACAGACAAGAGAATTAGCTACATACACAGCCCTGAATGGGGACAAAAAAGCAGCTTTCACAGGAGCTGCCAAGGGGCAGTAGAAAACACAGCTCTGTTGGGACTCACCTGAAATCTCCCTCCAGTTTTTCCTGCTGCACAAGTTTAGACACAATTGGGCTCATCAACACTTTGTTAATCATCGTCCCAATGACAAAATACCCAAAGATGCTCACTGGGCCTAGCCAACCTGTGCTACAGAGGAGAAAGAGAAGTCAGCCAATAATCCAAGCAAAAGGGCACTCCTGCATCATTAGGTTCAAGCAATCAGAGCCCTCAGCTGTAATCCCTCTTGGCTTTCACAGAAGTCTGGGGGCCAACACTGTACATCCCAACATCTCCAAGGCAGAGTTCTCTGGAGTATAGAAACCACTCAACCATGTGTACAAATATCCATCTGCAGAGTTGTAATGGGGGTGGCATGCTCCAAAAAAAGAACACTGAAAATAGGCATGCAAGCAGGGCCAGGATGCATCCTTACCTGTGAAAGCACTGGTATGTGTAGTAGGCCAGTGTGAAGGGTGAGATGACTAGCTTGCTGACCATGGAGCTGAGCTGCCTGCAGAACCTCTCCACATCCTGGCTGATGCGCTGGTCCCTGCTCAACACAGAGAGACATTGACACCATTACAGCCCAGAAGCAAAAACCAGTACTCCTGGAACAATCCCCATACTATGAAAAACTACTGACTCTCCCCCTAACATTCAGTACTGGGCTGAGATGCCATCAGATCCACCAGGACAGGCTAGAGCACAGGCCAGGCCTTCACCAGCTATTGGATATTTGCAAACACTTCCATCAAAGCTACCTTTTCACAAGAGCCAATCCCTTGGCTCTGCATGGAGTGCCTCTGGTTCCTTCATTGCAAAGAAAGAAATGCTTCTACCCACCTCAGCCCACAAGAGCAGGAAGCAGCAAACCAAGCCTTCCCACCTCACTAGCAGCAGGCACATGGGCGACAAACCCTGAAGTCCCATCTATCCCACTGCTGCGCAGGAGTTGCACTTGGGATAACTAGGAAGAAATTCAGTATATTTACTTCTCAGCACTTCATCTGTCCAGAGCACATGGATGAGGGATTCAGCCTGCTGTGCTAAGCTGTAGTGGAAAGGCCATAACTTAATGCTGGAGTTCAGAATGAACAGCAAGGATGGATTCCTGGATAGTCTCAGGGCAGATACTACCACAAAGGCACTCATCTTTTAACACTTTTGCAGTTCTGGAACAGCAATGGATTTAATTCTGGGGCAGCTCTCACCCTGAGAGCTTGCAGTCATCGTTTTTCCTTTTCCTCACACTGTAATTTTCCCATAAAATTGTAACTTAAATTGTGCTATAGTCTCATGGGAGGATATTGCTTTTTACAAGCTATTAAGTAACATGTAATGAAAATACATGAAACACATGAAAGCATCAACTCAAATGCCCTAGTAATGCTGCAAATGCTTGTATGCCACTCAGAACCCACTCTTCATTCCTTCAAAGTAGATAACTCCATGCATTTAACACTCAGCTTGGTTTGCACTGCATAATGGGACATCTCTGTTGCTCCAGTTTGTTCTCCGAGTACCTGGTGCAGTGAAAAAACTTTCATCAAGGAATTGCAAGATGAAGAGAATTTCTGCAGTGGCACCAAAACCACACTAAACAGTAACATTGACTGTTGGAGCAGAAGCAAGGTGTCATGAGAGATACTCCACAGTAATCCCACATGTTTGGTCTGCAAAGGCCAGGAGATCTGTCTCTTGCTGCAGGGCAGACTGACCCAGTTGTCTCCTACATTTCACTGCACAATGTGAACACGTTCCCTAGTTAAAAATAAACCTGAGGAGAATAATCATGTGGTGAGGGGCCTCTGTCTTCCACTTCCCCTCATGTCCCCAAAGAAAAAGACAGGCTTGCAGGAGCTTCTGGCTTCAATGTGCTGCACTGCCTAAAAAGTGCTGCATGCCCTGGTAACAAACATGTTTTTTTTTAACCACTCCTTGTAACTCCATGCCACTGAAAAACACTATCAGAAATTAACATTTAATGATAGTGAAGTAAACCCAGCAGCAGTCTGGAAGTGCATCAGCTTGATAATGATGACCTACCACCCAACATGTAGAGCTGTTTGACCCAAGCTGAGATCTCTCTCCTTGCTTGCTGCTCCCCTTAGATACCCAGCATGTTTTCTTGCAGCAGCCACACAAAGACTCTGCCCTGCAATGAAGGAGCAAGGACAGGCAGCCAGTAGCACCAGGCAGCAGAACTGCAGAAGCTGCTTCAGTTTCTTGGAAGTTTCCGCTATCAGTAAGAGTTAGGAGTCCCTGCAAGACAGCAATTTTCCCCCAGGACCCTAGTCATGGTCTCCTCTCTTGCCATCAACATGAGAAATGGCGCCAGTGCAGTGACTAGATCAGAGGTACCCACTCCAGTAGAGGTGACAGAGGAGAGCTTGGAGTCTCAAAACAATGGTATAACAGCACATTATTTGGAAAACATTCCCCTTTGATTTCTAGTTTTTCAGCTAGTATTTAATAATAATGACTTTAAATTCTGGAAGGGGAAGAATTAGGGAGATTCTACACCGAGATTAGCTCAGTGGGTTAAAGCATGGTGCTAATAGTGCCATGGGTTCAATCCCTGTGTAGGCTATTCACTTAAAGAATTGGACTCAATGATCCAAGGGGGTGCACTTCAACTAAGTATTTTGTGGTTCTGTGACCTCTCACATGATGTCTAACACAGGATTTTTAGCTCTTCACAGTGTGCAACTATGACAGAAGTGTGCGATGTGTGCAAGGACAGGCTGGAAGGCCAAGGTCCACACACAGCTGTGAGGAAAGGCATTCAACCTTTGCCACGCAGCCCAGGCAGATCAACAGCTCTGCAGTAAGCAGGACAGTCCACAAAGCAAACTGGAGAAGGACCTCTTGGGGGTGGGTCTGGGATCCACAGGGAGAGACTGAATGCTCCTCCTCATATTTTAAGTCACCACTGACACTTCCTTCCTTGGAACAGGAAAGGGAAATGCAGCCCGCATACAGTGCAAAACAAAGCCCTTCCTGAATGTGGCTCCCATGGGTTATCAAACCACTAAAATACAACTGAACTGTGCTCAGCTGCAGATCCTGGTGTTTGAAGTTCAAACAGAACACAGACTGTTCTAATACACCAGCTGTGTGAAGGAAAGAAGAGGCACTGCTGACTCCAGCCAAGCCCTTTGCAACATCACACAGTGTGAAGGGTTGAGTTTGCAGACAGCATGTTTTCTAGCAGCACTAGATCCCTGTTCCAATGGCCATCCACTTTCCTTGCAACTGAAACATCCTGCCCCTAAACCCATCACGACCAGCAGTCACGGGAGTTCCCAGCAATAGGTATCACCTCCCACTGGGGTAGAAGAGGGTGCCTAGATGGTAAAAGCTTCTAGGGCTCATGCCCCTACCCAGAGACAAAGAGAAGTCAGGAAAAGGTGTGCAGCAGCCCAGGAGAAGCCAAGCAAGATACTGAAAGAAGCTGCCAGCAGCCTACGGGTTATCGATGTCCTCACGCAGCACAAGCAGGTTGTAGTAGACCTGGCCTTGGAAGTAGCAGCTGTGGAGGTATTCAGTGAGAGATTTCCTCCAGTTCACATACATCATGTTGCAGATAAACTGGTCGAAACTTTTTAGCTGGAACAAGGGCAAAAAAATGGATGGGGAGAGATAAGTGAGAACAAACATTTTTACAAAATGAAATAAAAATTAGCAGTTTGTGCTAGTGATCCAAGGCATGGGCAGACTTGAATCCTTTGTGACCAGGATCATGCCAGGAGTCACGGGTAGCTTTCTCTTCCTCTCCCAAGACATGTAAGCCTCTGGTCTTACCGTGGAGTTCACAATGATCAGAGTCACAGCAACGGCAGTCAGTGTTTTGAATCCAGAGAAGTCCTTCTTCCCTAGGACCTCATAGTACTGGCTGGGGATGACGCCGACCTGGTAAATAACCAGCTGCTCTGGAGAAGAAGGCAAGCAGGGGAAGGAATTGATGGACTGCGGTGACAAGGCAAAGTGGGGGGACCACAGGGAGCAGACGTGGGGTGCAGCCCCCCATCCCCACCACCCAGGCTCACCCAGCAAGGCGACACCGAGCAGCGTCAGGAACATGAGGGCGCTCGGGGAGGGCCACCCAGGAAAGAGCACGGCCAGGAGCCGCAGGAACCGCCGCAGGAACAGCCCGTCCAGCCGGGAACCAGCCCTGCAACGGAGGGAGACGCGGGGCTGGCAGTGAGCTCGGGGGTCGCACCCCTCCACCCCGCCCCGGCCCAGTCCGGTCCGTCCTCACCGCCCGCCGGCCCCGGCACCCCTCGCGCTGCCGCTGCCTCCCGCCATGGGCGCCCTCCTGACCGGAGCAGCCCGTCCCGCCCGGCCCGGCCCCGCGGGCGCTGCACATGAATATTCATCACCTCTCCTCGCCCGGCATCAGCCCCGCCCGCGGGCGCCGCCGCTGCCGCCGCTTCCGCGTGCGGCGTCACACGGAGCTCCGCCCCAGCGCCGCCGGCCGGGAGCGCCCCCTGGCGGCAGCCGCGCTGACCGCGGCACAACGCCCCCCGGCGGCGCCGCGCGGCTGTGCGCGGTCAGCGCCCGCCCCCCCGCGCGGTCCCCACACAGCGGAGCCGGGCGGGCCATATCCCGGCGGGCCATATCCCGGCGGGCCATATCCCGGCGGGCCATATCCCGGCGGGCCATATCCCGGCGGGCCATATCCCGGCGGGCCATATCCCGGCGGGCCATATCCCGGCGCGGTGGGTGTGCTCGCGTCCCTCACCCCCTCCCCCACGCCTGGTCCCAGAGACGGGCCGTGGTGCCGGGCAGGGTCCAGGGCCAAGCCGCAGGCTGCAGGGCCGGAGAACCCGGGCACTGACGCCTCTCTTGAGGAAGGAGCTGGACAGGCACCAGCTGATCCCTCTGGGGATCCCAGAGGCTGAAGGACAGTCGCCGTGGGCAGCAGGTATTGCCCGCCTGTTACAGGGGAGACAAGAAAGAAGTACCAGTACTAATTCTGCACATTTGTCTTATTTCCGGGTGAGCAGCGAAGTTTCAAGTTGCTTCCGAGGGACTCGCAACTCGCAGTGGCCACTGCAGGGGATTTCTCAAGCCGGGACATTGGGATTAAGCAGAGATCCCCAGCGTGAAGGTGAATGGCAGTTCGTGCTCCCACCCTGCCGCAGGAACGGGAACGAAGCAGTGCGAAACCCCCGGCAGAGGGAGGGACGTGGAGAAAGAAGCAGTGAGCTGTCAGTGAATGGACCCTCTTTGGCTTCTCGTTGACCCCAGTTTTAATACAGAGACCAACTAATTTTCTTTTTCAGGTTTGGGTTGGAATCTGGTTTCATAACCCGAAATTCTAGTTATGAAATATTTCAGAACAAGTAAATTTCTAATCACAAGCCTGGTGATTAGAGATGAGAGATCCTATGAGCTGTCACGCCTTCCTTACTCGTGTGTCTCTCACCTACCATCCAGCTGATGCCATTTTTTCTGCAGAGCCTTTGGCTTCTGCATGTGCCCCGTGGGTCCCTCTTCCCATATGCCTAGTAGCTTTGTTCCTCTGCCAGTTTTCTGCCTCCCAGCCCTCCTTCTCTTTCTTCGTCCTCATCTCCTTCATCTTTGCTCTGCTGCTACCTGCTCAGTGGTCCAGATAATTCATACTTCACACTTCACAAAGTCAGTGTATATGCTCTCAGGGATGAAAGAAGACACATCAGTGTGTTTCCTCAGCAAATGGCCTTGTCTCTAAGCAGTGCCCCTTTCTCCTTGCCCTCATCTCCCTTCTCTCCTTTGGAATTCACAATGCTATCAGTCATACCTAAAGATTAAGCTCCAGAGGGCAGAGATCAGCCCTGTGAAAACCTGACCTCAGTGATGACTAACTTTTATGTTAAAAGAACCATGGTGTTTTTTTTCTCAGCTGTTGCATCAGACCTGGGTGACGGCTGCTCCTAGGCAGTCACATCCTCTCATGGGGCAGTACTGCAGCTGTGACAATTGTGTGGGTCACCTTATCAGTGGTTACCAGGATTGAACTGACTCCTTTGCTCTGTTGTCCACTTTATGATGAGGGGATATTCCTTCCCTTCCCTCCTGGACTGATGAAATGGCTTTCCAGCATCAGGAGAGTCAGAGGATCTAACACAGAGATGAGATGGCCACAATTGTCTGCCCCAAGCCCTCCTACTTCTTCCTTCTCCCTGCCCTTTGTTCTGTCACTGGCACCCCACGACCTCCACCTGATAAAGCACACCCTGTGAGCTCCCTTTGGCGTATCTGCTTCACGATTTTTCCTGGGAACCCTCCTAAGTCAGCCAAGATCAAGAACAAAAGAGAAGTGCTTTCTCAGTGCCTCTCCATCCCCCCTCCGAGGCTGTGCCCTAGACACTCAGCTGCTGTCAGCACAGAAACATTTACATCTTTTACAGCACTCCATCTCTACTTCTCACGTTTCTCCCCCAGCAAACACCATGGCCATTTCAGTGTGTGCCTGGGGGCAGGGCTTGGGAAAAGACTGGGGAATCACAACTTGAGCAGAGTTTTATGGGTCTGTTTGCACTGAAGGGCCATATCTCAGCTCCCTGACTAGCTACAGACCCAAGAGAAAACCCCTCTGCATTGCTAACCTGTCACCGAAGTGTATGCCATGAATCCTGGGAATGGAGAGATGGGCCTGGCTTGCTAGGTCCTGGGCTCCTTGAGGCAGTGCAAGTTAATTCTTTGTGTTGTGGTGTTTAACCGCAGCCCCATCTGCTCCTGCTTGCTAGGTGTGAAACATCCCATCCCCCATCCTCCCCTGCCTGTTCCATGCATTTTTGCCCTGCCCTGGACCAGTGAAGGAAGCCAGATCCTCCTGCATCCCTGGCCTCCCAGTCCCTGGCTCCGGTCGTTCCCCACTGCCCCTCTATGTTTCCATTTCCCTGTGGTCCCTCTCTGCCTGCTGGCCTGTAGCTGGGATGCAGGGAGAAGAAGCCGGACAAACCCATCTTTCACTGCCTTTGTGTGGTAGGTGGTCCTGGGTGTCCTCTGAAGCAAGCAGCAGCTTCTGTCATCACAGAAACACAAAACTGCAGCCTTGAATCTGTAGTTTGCTTTCCCTCTTTCCCAGGTCTTTCTTAATGCTGCTCACTTTGTGTGATGTTGCGTAATGAAGCACTGCCAGATTATCCTCTTCCTGGGCTTTCCAAAACTGAATCCACCATTTCCTGCCCATGTTTCCAATTTCTAATCTTCTCATAGGTACCTGTCCTCACCAGAGCTTGCAGCTTCTTCAGTGTGGGATCACCTACAAGCTTTAGCCCTCTGTCAGATCATTAGTAAGGAAGGGTTAAGGAAAAATCCCATCCTGAATTACAGCACTGTCTGTACTAGGATGTGAACTAAACCAGCTAATTTTCAGCTGGAACAGCAAGCTGAACTGACTGACAGAGTCCCTCACACTCATGTGCCACCCCAAAGCAGAGGGTGGAAATGGGAAATGGAGGGGGAGCAAACAACATGGCCAGGCTCAGCACAACACAAACCTCCATGGAGCCGCACCACGGGCTCCTGCTGTGATATCTTAATGATTCTGCCTTTTCCTTCTCCACACTGTGTCTTAATTAGCCTTTCCCCCTCCTGTGGGCCAAACTGCTCTGCTTTCTTTTCAATTCTCCTTCCTTGTGCTTTGCCTCTAACAGTGTCTTTCTACTGTACACTTCAAAGGCTTTACTTGCTGCATCTCCCCCATGCTGGCATTGGCTGGTAAGACCCCCAAAGCAGGACAGGTCTGCCATGAACTCATAGTCATTGAAACTGTTTGGGACCCTTTGGATCTGGGTAAGAAGCAGGCATGGGGGAGGAGAGGTCAAGGATTTTCGGCATTTCACCTATAAGAAGAATTATTAGTAACACAGGAAAAAAAAAGGGGGAAAAGGGTCCCCTCCTCCACCCACCCTCCCCAGAGGAGAGCCCGCTGAGGGCAGAGTGCTTTTATGTGCAAGTGGGAGGGAAGGAGAGTGTTAGGGCTTCAGAGGGAAATGCTTTGATCTTGACTTTGAATCTCCTTCAGTTCCCAGCTCTCCCCCACTCTCCCACCTATGGCCAGGACCACAGGATGTGGCCAGGACTCCTAGTACTTGCTCAGTGCTATGGTACTTCACTTGCTGTTTCACATTTAATTTCCTCCTGTGCACCTGGGAGCCTCACAGAGGCCTCGTGGAGCAAGAGCATAGTGCCAACACCAAGTTCAAACTTTCCTCCCCATCTCACAGAATGGGAAGAGGATGGGAGCCCAGCTGGACAGAAGCCAGAAGGGGAAAGAGCTCTGAGATGAGCAGAGGTGAATTAGAGATGGGACCTACTCTCAAGGCTCTGGTACCCCAGGGCGGGGAGCAGGCAGACCTGGCTGTCCTGTGCATCCTGGTGCATTAGACTGGTCAGTGCTGAACATGACACAGAAGATGAACCGGGAAGCAATAACCATTAGGAGAGAGACAGGGAGTGGCTCTCAGAAG